ATAATACATTTTTGTATTATAATTATAACGTCATTATAATAAGTTCGTGTATGCGTCAACATAAACATCATTTCAATTAAAATATTTTTCTTTTAAATGTGTGAGGGAGGAAATAATTTTTAATATTTCTTTTTCTTTCCAATTTTATAAAACAATTAATTGTTCATTAAGGAAATTACAAACAAATGAATTTTTTCTTCTGCTTTTGTTTCTTTAGTATTATTATAAAAATTATACCTTTTAAGTTTTATCTTTAAATGGAATTTATATATTTAAGAGTTATTATAATAAAAATCAGATGCATTTCCTAGCCTCATTTAGCTATTCAATTCATAATAAATAATTATTTTTTTTTTTGTATATGAATTTGTGTAAAATTTTAATTATATAATTTACTACTGTTATTCTTTATTAAATTTTTATATCTAAGCTCATTGTGAAAAGTGTGTATATAAAATTGCAAAAGTTCATATAAGCAGAAACAAATTTTTATAATTACAATTTAATTATATGAAAATGAAAGAAAAAAAAATGTTAACGCTACAATGCAATATACAAAATATTTAAAATATTAAGAAATAATTTGAGTGAGGGTATTGACTTTATTTTCTACATTTATTCTGCTTAATATAATTTCAATGTTATATAATTAATTTTACAAATTAATTTCATAATAATTTGTATTTATTTATTTGCTATAATAAAAATTTAAAAATATCAATTGGATAACTATTGAAAATTTGCAGATTTTTGAAACTATTTAAGAATATTCTAAAATACTGTAAATTTTAAATATATTATAATGTAAAGTTAATATAAAATCTATAAATTTTCAGAAAAAAAAAAAAAAAATTGCGAACCAAATTGCAAAAGAACGGAAATTGTTGTTTTCTGAATGAAGACTTTCGATTTATCAAGCGTTTTTTACAATCAAAGGCATTTCATTATTGTATTTTATACACTTAAATTTTAAATAAAATCAGATATGTTATATATTAAGAAACTATATTATCTTTAAATTTATACAATTAAATTATATAGGCCTTATGGATAAAATCTTGATTTTTTGTCTCAAAAACACAAAATAATGGATGTAATGGCACATACAGCATATATTGCCTTTAATATATTTACAATATACAATCAACGAAATACCACCACCCTCTCGTACGTCTCGTATCGCGTCATTTTTTGGATTTTATACTGATTTTATTATTAATGGAATTAATGTTAAAACAAACAGTGGTACTGCCCTGATACTAGTGGATAGTACCCCTGGTACCACTGGATTTTTGTCTTCTTTCATAATTTAATTTAATACTTTTTTAAATGACAATGAGGAAGGTCTGTACCGATTGAATTTCTAAAAATTTTAGAGAATATATTTTTAATAAAATTATGCATTTTTTTTTAAATTATAAAAAGAAAATGAGAGCTGCTCTCTCTACGCAGTGGCCTTATACATACCAGGGCAGTGGCTATACTTATAATTTAAAATTAATTGAATTGAAGCAAAATTGACAACAATTTTAATTTTATCTTTTTAATTTTATGATTTTAATACTAAATACGGTGAAGAAATTATAATTATATGATTTTCAAATTATTATTACCAAAAGAAAACCAATAAAAAATTCTTAATTCTTTGTTTTTTGTTTATATGCGAAAATTTTTATCGAAAAACTAGAACCATAAAAACCATAATATTTACCCCAAAATTTTATTTTTTTTTTGTTCATAGAGTAAATAAGCGCGAATATTTTTAATATAATGTTAAAAAAATTTCTTATATACTTCCGATTATTATATTTTTTTCAATAATTATGATAAATGTTAAAAAAATTATTATTGATCCTTAATACTTGATTAAATCAACTTAAATTTTGCTATAGAATATAGAAGCTTATAGATTTAATTGAAAATCATATATTTCATTTTATTTTTTATTTTTTTTTTCTTCTTTTATTAAATACAACTGAAATTGAATGGTCTTAATTTGAAATTGATTATACTATCATCTACATATATATACAATATTTTATACCTAAGCCAAAAAAAATTTATAAAAAAAAAAATTAATTTTCTTTTATGAATTTTTTTCAAAACTCACTCATCATACAAAAAAATCTAAACCATACCATAAAGAATATCATTGAAAAATCAAATATATAAAAGAATGGTAACATTACCGTAGAAGTAGTAAAAAACAACAAGGAGAAAAAAACGACATTATAGAAAAAAAAATTCAACATTATTAAAGTATAACAATAACTGTATTTTTTTTTCCCGAATTCAAAAAGATAGGTTAAAAATAAGAACCACAGAAATATTTATCCTACTTTTTTTATCTAGATAAATAGGAAAAATACTCTAAGATCAAATACAATATTTTCACTCTTAAAATTGTATCAAATTATTCATGTACGTGTACGGATGTCTGTACATTGAATATGCAATATATATATATACAAAATATTTATACAAAACTTACATATAAACTAATTTAATTTAAAAATTTTTTTTTCTTATTTATTTTATTTTATTTGCATTAAAATAACTTGAATGTGACTCAATTTTAGTTTCGAATTAGACATAAAAAAAAATAAAATGTTAGAAAACTGGAATTATTATTAATAAAAAAAATTAAAAAAAAAAATCAAATACAAATTTAAATGACAAAATTTAACTTTCGCAATTCTATTTCGGATGGTATGTTTTTTCTCTGCAATATAACCTAAAAGTTCAGTATGCAAACGACACCAACTACGAGAAATATAATAGAGATACATCAAGGCGGAAAACTGAAAAATTGAGTACGTGTAAGAGTTCTATATTTTCTTTAAGAATCTTAAATAGAAATAATTTTAATAAAAATATAACTAGTACTATAAAATCTTACACTGAGAAAAAACGCATAACACAAAATTCAAAAATTATTAATAATTATAATTATAGATGACTTCAAGTTAAGAGGGGCGAAAATCGTAACTTAATGAATTAAATTGAAATTACAGCAACTCATAAAATAACAAAAAAATATATTTTGGAAAATAAATACAATAAATATACGACAGAGTGATGCTCTTAAAATTTACCTTAATTTCTGTACTGTTCTTTCGTGATCATGTACCATTTTTAGATAGATTAGATTTTTAGTGATGACAAAATTACGGAGTAGTAGTAATAATAAAAATTAATTCGTAGTGCGTGGATTATGCATTACAAATCAAGTATATCTTCAAAATATTAACTATTTTGGGAATATAATAAGTTATTTAAGACTGTATTCAACTACAAAATATGGACAATTAGCTTTATTTTAATTATTAAATAACTTTGCAACTGGAGCCTACAAATCAAATTATCGAATGGTAATTTGACTTGCAATTTCAGTTGCCATATAATGAAAATAAATCATTTAAAAAAAAAAAATTTGCTTCAACTCTTATCAATTACAGGCCAATTGAATCAAAAATAAATTTTTCTACCAGTGAATCCTATTTCTATTGTTTTTATGTCTCTAAGTATATTCCTTCATACATATAAATAAAAAAATTACAGACTATATAACTAGCATTTTTTTCTTACTTTTATTGTTTTTTTTTTTACTCTTCTACTCTTCTCTTCTTTTATTTTAGCTGTTATTTTTAAAAACTTTTTTCTATATTTTACTTTTGTTACTCTTATTATTTAACTAGTTTATATGTTATGCAGTTTTTTTTTTCTTTTTGCATATTTTTATTAATCAAATTCAGAAAGAGACCCAAAAAGATCAGAAAATTAAAAATCTCCATAACTTTTGAATAAAAAAAATCATAAAAAAAGCTTATACATATTATATTACTTGCATAAATGGAATATACATACATACATGTACAAAAGATACGTCGTTCGTTTGCAAGAAAAACTGGGTAAGTCGAAAAAGAGGGATTTTTGAATTAAATATTACGCACCAGCAAGAAACTTTCATTCTGTTTACTCAAATAATTTTACAGATTTTGCGAGACGTGCTACTTTAATTAATGGTCTTCTGTCAGCAATTTCAGATTATGCGTTGCTGTGTAATATGTGCGTGCGACCTTTCAAATTAATACGTTTTTGCTCGATATATTTGCTCCAAATGTTGTTGTTCTTAAAAGTAATTTATAAAAAACTAATTTCTAAACTAAAACAAAATTATGGAAATGTATCATTTAGTATAATTAAATAATTGTGTAACAATTAATAATTCAACTTTAAAATAATATTATGCTGACCAAATCGTACCTAAGTCAAAGATTTGGAATTTCAATTCAACCCAGCATTTTTACTGTGATGCATGCTTCAGATTTCAACAAAGCTCTAAGAAAACCATTACAATATTTTAAAAACGAATATCTTAATGTTCGGTAGTTCCTTATAACAATTTTTGGGTTAAGTTCTAATCAAATAAATTCTTTAAACGCGAAAAACAAATTTTTTTTTAGTTATACTATTTTCCATCCCAATGATCGCCTCTTAATATAATGTTATTTATATACGGACAGTCTGTAAATATTTATATAAATATATAACAAAAAGCTGGCTGAATTAAATAAAGCTACATACACAACAACATGAGTATATTTCTTATACATTTCTCGCCTTCTCTATCTTTATATCTCACCTTTTAAGCTCATAATAATAGTTATAAAATCTCATTAATTCAGCAAAAATATAATGTGAAAACAAAAACAACAATAATAAAAATTTCATCTCATTTGATCTCAGTTAATTCCAATTCTCTCAAACGAATAATAAAAAATATCAAAAAATCACGTTCAACTTTTTAATAAAATTTTAACCACTCACTATAATTCCTAAGCTAAACTGTAATATACATTCATACATACATATATATGTAATATAATGTGGTTAAAGAAAAACAAACAGAGAAAAAAACAATAAAACATCAACAGGTAAAACTTTCTAACTAAAAAAAAAAATTTTTTTTTAACTATTAACTTAGTTGAGAACAGGTAATGAAACTGTTTGGATTAAAAAGAAAACGCAAAGAAGGAAAATAATTTCGCGTAAAAATTAAGAGTTTTGTGTCCGCTTTAAAAGTTCAGATTAGCCAAAAAAAAAATAAATTAATAGTAAAAAGCCTTTAATTTTTTTTTTTGTATTTTGCTGGTTCGGTGGCGGGTGGCGTAAAATAAAAAAATTTTTAGTTTTTTTTTTCTACAATTTTTCTATTTCAGTCTAACATATTGAAATATACGTACATATATAGAAGATTGCATAAAAAAATAAAATAAATTTTATTAATTTTTGTGAGTTTAATTTTTGACATACTTAGTATATATGTAATTTATATATTTTTATATTTAAATTTATAAATATACCAAAAAATTTTGTAGTACATAATAAATAAAATGATGCAAATTATAAAATAATTAAAAATTTTAATAATAAATTTATTAATTTAAAAAATAGACGCCATATTAGAAGAAAAATAAATTTAATAAAACAAAAATTTTTGAAAATTTTTAAAATTTTTGGAACTATTTTTAATAATTACCAAAATTTGATATTGTTATAAATATTTTATAGAGAAACTAAACTAAATAATTTTTTTTATGTTTAAAGTAACAAAATTTTTTCTCTTTAAATTTTTAAAAAATTAATGAAAATCTTTAAAAATATTAGTTATTTTTTTCTTAATTTAATATACTTTTAACACTTCAACTCTCAAGGTGGAATACAAAAAAAACAAACCATAAAAATGTTATAAAAAATTATATTGAAGGCGAATTGAAAAATTATTAGAGCAAATTAATTTATAACATAAAAAATAAAGAATGTGCTTTTTTAAACAGAAAATTTAATAAAAAATATATATATAACAGAATTCCATAAAAGTATTAAATATTTTATAAAAAAAAAAGTATAACAAACCTATTCTTAAATCATATTGAAAAATAATTATATAAAATTATATAAAAAAAAATATGATTACCATATAAGTATATCTATATGAAAACAAAAATTTGTTGTGATATACGCTAATTATGTATTAAAAATAATAAAACGCTTAATGAGTGGCTTATTACATTGGAAAATATTTTATTTATTATTTATAACAATTTATTCATACTAATTTAATCTTAAATATGAATTATTTCTAAAAGTACAAATTATTTTTAATTCTACAATTTTAATATAATTTTGCTATTAAAATATTAAATACTTGTATAAAATTAATTGAGCTGCATATGATATTTGCTATATCATCTATACAATATGTACATTATAATAGTTTAGTGGTAATTTAATAAGCTTAAAAATTGTCTTATATTTTAATATTTTTAATTATATTAAAATAACCAATATTGCATGCTATAACTAAAATGTATATACAATAAGTGAATATTATAACTTGATAATTTTATTTTGAGTATAAAATTATAAATTTATTTGGAAATTATTATACACAATGACTCGGTGAATGAATTTTATACTAAGTATTTTAGTTTCAATTAATTTTATTCTTAATTGCACTCCTAGATTAGAATTAGAAAAATATTGCTTATGAAATAAATTTCTATCATGAAATAATTATTTGATTGGAATTTAATTAAAATTTTTTTTTTATTTGAAATAATATACCATACTTTATCTGAATAGATTTCGACATTATTAAGTCCAAATATGTTATTTATCTACATGAATCACTGGAATACAACGAATATTTTAATAATTTGGAAATAAATTTATTTTACAATTTATTTTGTATATTTATTGGATATTTAATTACATGTTATTTAAAATTTAAAAAAATAATTATTATTAAAAATTAAAAAAAAAATATATATACCAAAAATACCCAATAATATGATAGCAAATTTACAATTGTAGTGTAAATTATATTCTTTGTAATTTCGAATAGGGTGTATAATATTACGTTACCTTTTCAACAAGCTGCAGCTCGAAAACGTGTATATCTGCACCCGACTCAAACAATCCACATTATACGACACACCCTGTTTAACTAACCGCCATTTCAATAATACTAAATTACTGAAAAGACACACAGCATTTTTATTGCGGCTTCGTTCCGTTTATTGCCGAATTTATCGATGATATGTACAAAAAGCAAACTATACAGCATTTTATAGTAACAGGACTACTAGATTTAATATTATTTTACTGACTAAAAAAAATCTATACAAAATATTCTATATTAGTACAATAAAGAATAAGTTAATATTTTTTATTACTTCGTCACCAACTACAACCAATCTATTTTAAACTAACCTCGCAAATTGTAGGTATTCAACACCCCAGAAATGTTTTTAATGTATAAAAAGAAAAATAACACGACAAAAAAACTAATTCTACTATATAGCAAAACAAATATACAAGCATTTACATTCAAATAAATATATTTTACTCTCTAAAAACAGTGTATGAACTTATAGTACATACAAAATCGCGTCATAATAATATTATTGTTATTATTATTATGTATATAATATAAATGTATATACATGAAATAACTATATGTATATATAAAACTAAAAAAGGGAACATAGATCAAGGTAAATTATATAGTTTTGTGAACAAAAAAAAAAAAAAAATTTTTTGAAATTTTTAAAAGTATTCCGGAAATTCATATACAAATGCAATTTTTGTGAATTTAATATTAAAGTATAAGATAAAGATTTTGAGAAAAAAATTACTTTTTTTTACTATTATGGTATAAGATTTCAAAATAATTAATGATTTTCCTAGTTTATATCTGTTATACTTTTTCCACTAAATTTTATTTGTACATAGTTTTACTATAAATTCCTGTAATTTTGTTTTTTATGTACAACTCTTTTAGGAATTTTCATGAATCATTGTATTAAAATAATATAGTAACTATGCTACAAGTACAAATAAGTAAAGAATTCTATTATAATCTAATATATCTAATTTTATAATGAAATTCCGCAATAACCCTCTAAATTTTATAAAATTATTCATGAATATTTTTTTCTTCATGTTAGTTTAATTAATTTAAAAAAAAATTTATTAATTTTTAAATATCTATATTTGTTTTAAATTATATTAACAATTTAATGATAGAAAAATAAATATATACATAGATTTATATTTTGTTACTCATTTCCTATTCCAAAAAGAAAATTTTTATTCGATTACCGCACACTACCATATACGAAAGTGTTATTACATTTAAATATTTTGTAGCCTAACAACTACATCTGTTCGAAAGCCCACAACATTTTTTTTTTATTTAAATTCCTTATAAATAATTTGGCATTTTGTTTACCTATAAGTGTTGCAATTTATACAGTCATTTATCAGTTTTGCTGTTAATTTTATAAAATTTTCTTTGCAAATGCTGTAATATGATTTTAACAGACAGTTCATCTACTGCCCATGCAAATGAGAGGATTAGTGCAAAGTTAATATTTTTTTTTTTCTGTAACTCAAAATTTTTGCATGAAAAATTAAACAAATCGATCTAATTTTGCATAGGTTACAAAAATGTGAAAAAAGCTAAAATCGAAAAATAAAATATAATACAAATATTTCAAAAATCCAAATTTTTTTGATTTATCTAGTTTTAATTTTTGATACCTTTTCTTGCGAAAATGTAGCTGAATCAGAAAAAAAATTATTTTGTCTCAAACAGTGCAAACCCTAACTAATACCACAGTGTAATTTTTTATTATAATTTCAATGTTATTAATTTATCTCTTTAACTCTCTTCTCATTTGTAAATTTTATTTTCTCATTACTTTCAAACATTTTCTTACTCTTCTCTTTTAACTCTTTTTTAATTTCTATCTTTTTACCTTCTCTTTTATTGTCGAATCTTTTACTAATATTTTCAATGAAAGACAATATCGTCATAGTTAAAGTTAGTTATTAAGTGTAAAAAAAAACAAAATAAAATTTAATAAAAAAAAATACTTTTAATACTTATTTCAAATTTTTTTAAGTATCATTTATGGTCAATTAAATCTATAGTAGTATTAGTTAAATATATTCGCATAATTAGTATACAATACATTTACATGTATGCATATAACAAAATAATTATATTTTTAAAAGATTAACTCATTATTAAACTCAATTTTATTTGCAGCTCAATAACAGAGTTATAAGATTATTTTGCTTTAATTTTTAAATTTTTTTATATATTTTTATACGAAGTAACTAACCTGTATGACAATTTATTATTTATATACATATACAAATTTACAACGTATATGTGTATAATTTGTAAAAAATAATAATTATAACCACAATTTTATTTTATTAATATTTTTAACTCTTCTCTTGCCAAAAAAAAAATCAAGGTGAACAACGAACTCTGAAGAACAAATTAAAAAATATTTTGTATAATAAATGGAATATAATAAAAACACATAAAATTAAATAAATATAATTACAACAAATATAAAAAAAGAAATTAAATAAAAAAAAAATAAATAACAAAGTAAAGGAAAAAAATATAACAGAATCCGTTCTCTCAGTAATGAGTTGACATAAAAAGAGCTAGATTAAAATTTAAAAAAAAAATTTCAGATTTTCTCATTTTTTTTTTTTGTTTCTTAAACACTGCATTCCAAAATACAGACCTCAGTTTATATAAATTAAAAGGGGACTAAAACTACAAGAATTAGAATAATAAAATTTTCTATGGTAAGTTTATTAATTTCTTTTATATTCTTCACTATATTTAAAAAAACAAATATGTACATATATTTTAGTAAATTTTAATCTTACAAAAATTTTTGAACTTTGAGAACAGCTTTTTATTATAATAAAACAGTTTTATACTACTCATATATATATATTAGAACAGTATAACATATAAAAGAACAGATTATAAAAGAATTGTGAAAGAACGGTATTGTACTGTAGAAGAGCTCTTCACAAATTATAAGAAAGAATAGATTTACAAAAGCATTATATAGAACAAAAAACAATTAAAAGTATTAAAGCAAATTAAAATTTTTTATTTATATATATGTATGTATATGCGAATACATACATATACTACATATGTAAATAATCATTATTTTGTTTTGTTTTCTATAAAGAAAATTCTTTTAATTAAAAGGCGATAACCTTTTCTCAATTTAATTTTAATATAATATATAAGGAGTTTATTTTGAATGGTATATATATACATATATATATATACAGTGTATAATCATATAATATTATACAAAAGTTCTTTGATTTACAAAAAATATTGCGGCGAAAAGGCCAATGTTCTTTATAAATGACACAACATTTCCAATTAAAGAAAATCAAAGAGGAAATCTTTAGAAATAGGTTAAGAATAAAAAAAAAAATAATTTTTTTTATTATGTAGAACTTTTTTAATAAGTACGTGTATAAGTGTTATGCCATTATTGTTTAAAACATTTTCTGATATACCTTTGAATTTTTTCATTGTTAAAGAAGGTGCTATATCCCCTGTTTGTTGAAAATTATTTATGTACGTATGTATGTGTATAAATTCAATTTATTTATTTTAATGTATGGCCAGTGCTTCGAAATTAAACGGAGCCTGAACATGTGACTCCAACGCGAACTTAGACCCATCAACAATTCGTATTAAACAAAAGAAAAATTCCGGCGAAAAATTTTAAACTCAAATCCGAATTGCAGCTGATACAATATAACTATAAATTGTAATATATATTTCAATTTTAAACTATGCCCGCAACCCAATAGTTTTCGTACTATAAAACAATGATAAAGTCAAAAACGACCTGATTTAAAAAATTTATACAATTGTAAAATTAACCGTAATATTGTTACCACCATTATAATTATATATGTACACTGTTATATTTCATATTCATATTTTTAGAATAATGGGCAGAATTAATATACAGAAACATATGTAAGTAAATAAACATACATTATGCACATATTGTGTACACTAAATCGGTAACCGCGGTACCCATAAAGTGTATATATGATTTATAAATCTAGTTTCTGCTTTAATTCCGTAATAAGAACCAATTATTTTAAATTTGTGATTTAACCTTGCTTTCACTTATAAGAAAAAATAAAATTAAACAAGTTTATAAACAATTTTTTTGTATTGTATTGTTAAAGATTTTTTGATTACTTTTTTTCTTTTAAAATTTGCAGAATTATTTATATAATCTTATCACATATAATATTGAATTAAATTTTAAAATAAAAATCTTAAAAAAAATAATTTTATCAACATTTTTTTTTTCTTTTCTTATGTCCTTTAATATTGTATTGACAAGGTTAACTTAAATTTTTTTATATACATGTTTGTATAGAAGCATTTTAGGTATATAGCGAATCGATTGACATTAAAATATAATTTATTGCTCATTTATTCAGTCAACATCTTTCATAAAATTCAGAAATATGTAAAAAAAATGACAATTTATCAATAAATACTACGAATTACGTAGTACTACAATAAATACTACGCGACGTAAACTTTTGAATGATCACAAATTCCTTTCAAATAGATTATGAACCAGCAATGACAACACAATTTTTGTCAGAGTGTCAGCATCAGTATTATGTTTCAACTATCAAATATTTATTTATATTTTTTTGTTGCTATTTGGGTAAACAATTTTCATACAAAATGATATTTTTGAAAATATCAGCAATAGAAATTCTGAAAATATCAGCAATCAGCAAATTTCCCTTAATTATAGCTGCGGTAGAGGAAGAAAGAAACAAAGAATTTTTAATTTTAGAAAAAAATTTAAAACTACCATTCTCTTTAAATTGCTTGTTACGTGTAATTATTTCTTTCGTAGTCTTTTGACACATATTTTTACAATGAACGTAATTTATGAATTTACCATATTACGAATATTCGGAGCAGAATTTTAGTAAATCGGAATTAACAATATGATGTTCGTAATTTTCCGAATTTCAGGGCTGCAAACTGAATTCATGATAGGGCTGATTGTAACTTCATTAATTTGTGCGCTAATATAAAATATGAATGAATTCACACTATGACAGATATATATAAATAAATTCCGATGCAAATTTTATAATAACATGAAATATAATTAAACCTAGAATTATTTTCGCAACATTTTACAAAAACATTACAAAATTGGAAAAAAATCGTATTGTGAGTTGAATTAAATTTAAATTTCCACACATAATTTCCAAATAAATCCGGGTACTTTAATCATATTGCAACAAATTTGCAAATTTGAATAAAATTTAATAGTACAAAATTTGTTTTATGTATATATATACAATATTCGCTTCTAAACACATAATACAACATATACATATATGCAATTAGAACGCAGTACTCATAGCATATACCTAATGTAAATTTAAAAAATGTGTAGGATATTGACAATTCATTTACATTCTTAATTGAACAAACATACATAATTTAGTTCGTAAATGAATAAATATAATGAACAATTGAATATTACAGAACCAACTTGCCTATATAGCAACTACTAAAATAATAGATTTGCTGTGGTAGATTTTACTATTCTAAAATAAATCAAACAAAAAAAAATAAAAAAATAATATTTTTTTTTATTTAGCCCCACACATGCTCTCATTTGCATGTCTAAAAGAAGTAGAATATAAAATTTTATTATAAACCAAATACATAAATAAAAAAAATTTTTTTTATTCTCTATTTAAAATTAGCTTTAACTATTTTAGATCTATAAATTTGTCTTATGCAAAAAAAAGGAAAAAAATAAGTGGAGGGAATTAAAATTATAATTTTTTTTTAATCTTATACCAAAATGGTTAATAATTTCTAAACTAGTTTCCTATATAATTTCTTAACAAAATCCAAAATATTTTTGTTAAAAAATAGAAAAAAAAACTTTCTAAAGAAAAAAAAACATTTTATTTAAATTTTAAAAATTTTCTATCTTTTCTGCACAATAAACATTATTGTTTGTTTGTTTGTGCTGATTATGCAAATCGAAAATTTAAATTTCTTTTGTGTCCCATCTAGTAAATTATAAAATTTAAAATTTCACCTATTTCAGATATTATTTTATTAAATGACATGCGAATATTTGCAAAACACCACTTTAAAATTTAATACTTAAGTTTTTATATGTGCCCATATACACAAAGATTTTAGACACAAAGTTGTTAGTTTACAAAGCTATTTTAACCAGCGTTTTTAACATTTTTTTTATTAAATTTTGGTTGTATATGCGAGTAGAAATTTTTGCCTATTTAACTGCTCTCACAATAATTCGAACATTATTTAAATAAGCAAGTCCACAGTAATTAATTTTTCACTTGTTATAAAATTATAAAATTAAAATTTTTTTTTTTGCAATTGAATACGAAAATTAAAGATGAAAAATCATATAAGTTGTATGCAATTATTGTATTCAAATACTAAAGTACATATAAGACAATAATAATAATAATTATTGACCGGAAATTTGAATTATTTTTATATACGTAATTTATAATAGAATTTGTATTTTTATCCATATGCAATATATGTACATACTTATATGTATCTATTGGAAATTATTATGTAAGATTAATATGAAAAGAAAAACGAATTCGTATATGAAAAGAAATGAAATTCCAAAAATAAAAGAGACTTTTTTTTTTTAATTTGTATACAGACAATTGGCGAATATTAAAATAAACACCTCACATTGTAATCACAAACCGGTAATAAATACAATATTAAAGTGTATATATTATACTTGTTGTTTATGACATAATAGAAAATACCCACATTTGAGTTAGATAGCCATTTCATATTATGGTATAGCAAAAAAAAAATTAATTAACCCTTGTCCAGTATTGAATGAAAAATATGACAACCTAATGGCCATTGGGCGAGTTTATAATCAAAATTATTTATTTAACAAATAAATCATTTATCGTTGTAATGTATTTTTTAGCAGAAGCTATGAACTTTTATTAAAAAAGAAAGCAAAATTTTGTTTTTATTTAAGTTTTTTTTACTAGCTTAGCAAATAAGTCATTACATTTCCAACAGAAATTACTTTCAATAGCAATTTTAAATAATTTCGAACGATTGTAGATTGCAGATTGCAAAAAATGGGTAAATGTGTACCGTGACCAGCTTAAAAGTACCCCCAACTAGGTCTGGTATAATCCTCAAAAATACCTCCTGATAGATTCTCGTAACTCCGGAAGGTCCGCCAGACCGCAACTCCGAAAGATAGTTACATTCATACTAAAACATGGTTATGCTTTAACTCGCTCTTATGCCTTAAAGAATTAACAATATTTAATATCACCATTTTTTCTAAAATGAACTAAAATTAAAAACTAAAATTATTTTGACATAATATTTATGGATTCAATATTTTAATTGAAAAAAAATACTATATATATTAACATATTTTTAAAAATAAATATAAAAGTGTTGTCATAAATTTAAAAGTGAGAAATATTTTCCATGAATAAAACTTTAGTTTTTAAAATTTACAAATGGTAATGGTTAAATTAAAAAATTTTTTATATAAACTCTTACAAAAGCTCATTTAGACATAATATTTTTGAATTTAATATAGTAGGCCAACTGCATTTAAAAAAAACACTAAATTATTGTAGAAACGACAAATGTGTTGCAAGGGCTAATTACTTTGCATTTCTTATGTTTGTCAAATACTTAATTTAATAGCAATTTTTTA